TTTTTTTTTTTTTTTTTTTTTTTTTTCGGAGTCTAATAAGTTATTGTTAGTAGAAAATACACCAGCTGCATTCACCTCGAAACGATGAGTCAAATGAAATAATAAAAACCCGACCTTATGCCTTTTCATTAAGAAATGTCTTGCTGATAGATTATGCAAACAAATAGTTACCGTTGAGCGCCCTTGAGACTTGGACAGTGGTATGTCTGCGCAGGGCCGTCGCTAGGGGTGCAGGGGCCATGGGCGAATTGAATCTTGCAGGGTCGTTGACGTTGGTTGATAGATCATAAAGACATGTCGGTAATAATTTAGGGGGCTACGAGTGGGGCCCCCACAAGTTCGGGGCCTATGGGTGGTCGCCCAGCTCGCCACCCCCCTAGCGCTTGGCCCTGATCTGCGTCATAGGATAAAAACGTTGGTGACGGACTTGATATTGAAGTTTGCAGTTTTTAAAAAAATATATTATTTTTTCTTTAGCTTTTCAGTTTTGTTTTATTAAAATTGAAACGTTTAATGCTTTTGTTTTGAAGAATTCCAGTAAATTAACTTTATCGTTGAAAGTTACAGGTTGTATTATGAGCGTTTTTGTATTTCTCAGTAAAGTAATTTAAAATATCGACCATAAGTGTAAAAAATAATTAGATATTTTTTTAAAAAATCGTCCACTCCTAATTTTTCTCCTTCTTTTTAGGTAGGATATATGAATGTGTGTAAATATATATATATATATATATATATATATATATATATATATATATATATATATTATGTAAATTTAATTTATACTTATTTAATTTTTTTTTTTTTTTTTACTGATGAAGGCATGTGCCGAAACATTTACTTGTTTATTGTGTAAAATTATTATTAAAGCTTAACTTATATTGTTATATTGACACACATTGTTCGTGTCTTATTAATCTATTTTAAAGCTTTATCGCAGTCAAACAATTTTTATTTTTGAAGAGGGGAAAATAAATCCTCTTGTGAAGTGACGTCATCAACAACGGGGTGAAAAAAGAACACATCAAAATGGCGATCGTCAGGATACGAGAGTGTAAAATGTACATTTTGTGGGCTAAGTTACTTATCATATCCTATTACTGTGTCACTGGTATGTATCTTTTTAATCTTTTTTTTTTAGAAATACATTCTTTTGTTGATAAACTATTTTCTTAAATTACAAGTCTCCATATATATCCATGCTTGTTTTAAAGTTAATAGTAGACCTACAAACTTCCAGTTCAGTAAACAAAAGAACCATTGTAATTGTATTGTTAGGCAGGCCTAATTGTTTTTAACTTCTTGTTTTTACGTAAGTTCCCAACTACTTTATCATAACTTGTAAACATAGTATGTTTGTATGTATTATAATGTAATACTAATACGCCTACATACTATGTTAACAAGTTAATTTCTTATTATAAAATAGTTAATGTAGTAGTAGTACCATTACTAGTAG